CCTTACCGTTCTCCGCCTACGGATTACAAACCCGTCACAACCTCTGCTTAACAGCACCAAAATTCAGCTCTATCGGCAGCTGGGTTGTCTTTTATTCGCAGCCGTAACGTGTCGTCCTGATCTCGCGTATGCTGCTAGCCAGCTCGCGCAATATTTGCGTTGACCTTGGGGGGAGAATCGACTAGATCTTCTAGGCGCCCTACAGTATTTTATTTCGACGCCTGAAGTCAGACTTACCCACAAAATCGTTACTACAAAAACTCTTTATCTTAACGGGGTATGTCGATGCTGATTATACAGCACATAATTCTAATCGTCGATCTCGCACCGCCTTCATCTATCGCCTCGAACCTATCGGAACCATTTCCTACTATTCTACAAAGCAAGAGCTCATAGCTCTATCATCTGTTGAAGCCAAGTTTATAGCTGCTTGCACAGCTACTCGTGAAGGTCTCTACCTGCAAGAGCTACTGGAGGAAGCGAAATTGACGACGAGTAGATTGTTTACCTTGCAGTGCGAAAACCAGAGTGCGATCAAAATCGCGCACCGGCCTGGCTTTGCCAACAGAAGGAAACACATTTCGCTACGATATTTCTTCGTCAAGGATGAAGCCGAGAAGGGGAGGATGCGATTGGTCTACTGCTCAATCAATGAAATGGCTGCAGATTTTCTCACCAAGAATTTGACACGTCAAAAGTTAAAGTACTGCTACGAGCTCTGCGGAATCAGCAAGAAGTGACTCTATCGGACTTCCAGAAATGAAGGAGAGTGTTGTCATAAATTCTTACTTAAGCATTTCTGTATGTAGTTCCGATAGATACTATCGAGTTACACTGTAGTTAGCATGCGTGGAACAGCGTCAGTAAATAGCGCTCGTATGGATAATTACGTGAGCAAGACGTTTCAGTCACGCGAGAAGTCACGCCCCTTTTAGTAGCGATTAGAGCGCATAGCGCGAATAGCTTTGAACACATTACCGGACAGGTACTTCTAGCAGATACTAAAGTAGCTTGTCTCTCATTTATTATTACCGTATTTACCCAGCTAAAAGTCCCTAGTGTCTTAACCTACCCCAATTTGGGAGGGGGGGGGGGGGGGGGGGGGGGGTTGTCTCTTTTAATCGGATGCAGATACATAAGACCCGTGGTCTATGTACATTTGAGATTCTAACACTGCAGTTAGAAAATTGTTACAACAGCACCCTGAGTTCCTCTCCGAGACTCGCAGGTACGGCTAGGGTGACGCGCAACCTGTTTTATGAGCTCGCGCTGGGCACACCATGTGGCGCCATCTCATTGGCGACACGAAATGAAAAGAATTGTGCTGACGCGAACAATCAGGCTCACCCCTAATTGACTAGAAAGGGGTCTTATCCTACAACCACCAAAAAGGGGGTTCCTCAATATCGGGATGCATAGGAGAAGACCCACCCTAGTATAATTACCCATGGGGCTTAAATTACAAGGAGTCTTTTAACCGGTTGTATACGTTAACTTGTTCTTCAGTCAATTCTAGACATTACTCACAAGTTTTAAGACTTGGTAATATTGGTTGTTACTAGAGGTGCTTCCAATATTCTTTTCTATTTCGAGTACTTATGTACCATATGCAGATTCTATACTTAGTCTCCGGCACACTTTTACACATTATTACAAATTTAACGGTATT